TATTATTATTATTATTATTATTATAATTGTTATTATTATTACTACTACTACTACCATGGGCCTTTTTGTGAGATCAATAAACAGGATACTTTGTGCTCTAGCTTCAGTACAAACAACACCAGGAAAGACCAAAAGATAAACAAAAGATGTTGTACCCAAGCTAGACCACAATGCACCATGTTTCCTATCTCAGAAAGGGTCTTATAAACAAGTGAACAAAACCATGCAAAGCTAGAGAATATATAGAACAAAATTAGACCATTCTATCATATTTTTTCTTATTTCCATTGAATGATAAGGACTATACATCCAGACCTAGTGCTGAAGCGCAGTATGGCAGCGCGAAGCATTTACGGCTACGCCGGAGATTTCGGCCCCGACACCGCTATCCGAGGACTTACAAACTGATCAAGAAGCTCGGCCGAAGCCTAAGGGAGAGGTTAGTCGGCCCCTAGACCGTAGATGATTAACCCCTTGCTATGAACAGCATGCCCGAAAGAGAAATCGCGTCTCTGATGCGTTAGTGCTCATTATCAATCTACTCCATGTGGGAGGTTTTAAACGAAAATTTAAGTYGGGTAAAAAGTTCTCCACGGGATTCTACACTTTCACTATAAAGATCACAATATTCAAAAATTGGAATTTTCTAGAAATAAATGCATGAATATATTTTATCTTATCGAAAAAAAAATGTATCTTACGATGTTGGCAATTGACACCARTATATGTTGGCTGACATGCGCAATCATAACCATTTAGTTTTTCGGTACAGATGCCCCCATTTTGACAAGGCTCAGATTGACACTCGTTGATCTTGTGCTCGCAGTTTGCTCCTGAGTAACCCGCGGGACATTGACAAATATAGAATCCATTGCGGTCGATGCATTTCCCGTTATTTTGACAGGGGTTGGTTTTGCAGTCATTGTCGTTGATTTGACAGAGTTGTCCGCTGAATCCTTTTCTACAGAGACACTGGAAGGAATCCACTCCACCTAAAAACATTGAAAACATTTGCGCCAGTCAGTGCGCGGCATTATTAGCTCTTCAATCAGTTCTCTATTTGCGCATGATCCATAATGCTTTGCACCTTGGGGGGGAAGGTAACCAATCAATAAACTGTCCCAACTTGAAACGTTTCTTAATTGAATTTATACTGCTTTTATATCTGTGTACAATATTGATTATCAGTTTAGTCCGAGTTAATTTTGCGCATACAGACCATCAAGAGGTTTGTCTGATCAGCCTTCAGCAAAATAAGTGGGTTTTTATCCATTGGTTACCCCTCAAAGGCGCAAAGTATTATGAGTATGTGAAAGTAGAGAATGGCAATAGTTCAAAGTATCGGGCGATTATAAATCGATTATAAATATTTGATTAGCTATTCTATTAGTGCTTTTGTGCTTGGATAATTATTGAAGATGTGAATAATGTTTCAGAAATTCAAAACTAGTCTAGTTATGTATTTAAGGATTGAAAAGGTTTCTAGTTTTGAATAAGTATACTTCACATCTTTAATAGCTATTTTTGAAAAACTAATAGATCAGTAGCGTTTACTTGGCGCTTTTTCTAGGTTTTGACGATATTTGCTAGTTTTGGTTTGTCTCATCTTCATAACCGCTCAAATAGTTTGTTCATACTAAGATAACAAAGCAAGCTCATTGCCACGCATTCTTGAAACACTAAGACTAAGGACAAACATCGAACTTCACACGAGCCAAACCTAATCGAACTTCACACGAGTCGAACCTAATGCCGTAAAAAGACTTCCTCATTATTCATTGTCATACATGGACTGCATAGCGGCTTCCAGAGACGCCTTCACATGCTTTCAGTTCGATCCCGTTAAGCAGCGCCACTGCTATAATTGCGGTGGTGATTAACGATTACAAGTTTGTTTTCAATTTGACCTTAGCTTAACTCATGACCCACTGGGATTCTTACACTTCAAGATTTCCTCAGAGACTTACCAATACAGACAGCGTTGTTGAGGCACGGATTTAACGCACATTCATCGGTGTTTCGCTCACAGAACTGTCCTTCATAACCAACAGGACACTCACACTCGGCTCCTGCTCCTTTCTCCTTACACGTGCCGCGCACACACGGATTCTTGGTTTTACATGTCTCGATCATCTTGTCACATTTAGTTCCAGTGTATCCTTCAGGGCACAAACAAGTGTAACTATTAACCTGGAAAACGAATATAACTAGTTAATACTACCTTCCAGCCGGCCATACTCCCTAAAAAGGCTGGCTGCGACCTCATGGTGCAAAGGATAATGGAACGAAAGGCTGATAGTGTATCCTTTGTTTCCGTCCCCAAATGCAATTTCGCAATCCATTGGGCCATTAAGTCATAACAGGTCTATATATGAGCTTTGATCCGGAACATGAGGCGAACATGTCTGCGTAATTGATGCATCACGACAGCAAATTTATGATTTCAAAATACATTTTGGGTTTAGCGGGAAACCCCCAATTCAATGGAGATACCTCACAAACCCTTCTCACCTATGATATGGAGTCTAGAAAATGCGCAGGGATGGATCTAGGGGAAGAGTGCAGGGGAAGCACACCACCCCCTTCCCCCTAGATGGACTGATATCTATTGCATTATTTGAGTTGGTAAGCAAAAGGTGAACCTCCACCGAAAACGAAGTCCTGGGGTGTGCACCTCCCCCCCCCCCCCCCCAGAAAAAATCCTGGTTTCTGAGGGGTAGGGGGGTCAGAGAAACAATAAAAACTACAGAGTTTGTATGGATTGATATCGTGAAAATGGTCAAATACAACTTATTTTGACATGTTTTGACTTAGCATCCACTAGTTTCCCCTCAGTCAACCGCTTGTTTGCCCCCCNCTAGAAAAAATCCTGGATACGCCCCTGATGCAATAATTGTGATCTTGATGACCACACAATAATGGTTAATAGATAAATACCTTAGACGTTCACAGACGTATTCAAAWTCAAAAACGAACCTTATCAAGGCAGGTAGCACCTAGTGAGCAAGGATTGACAGCGCACTCATCAACGTCTATCTGACATCTGTCTCCCATAAATCCCGCGAGACATTCGCATCTGTAAGATTCTTTCGTGTCTATACACTTGCCATTGTTTTGACATGGGCTAGACATACAGTCATTGACCTCTGCAAATCCAAAGTGAGATACTTAGAAGTGTTCCTTGACTCTGTTTCTCACGGTTATGAAGTCTTAGTATCAATAGTCACCTTCAAAGTTCCCTGCGCCTTTTTTTAACACCTTGGACAATTATTATTCACAGGTCTCTATCATTGCAAGCTCACCGTTCGTCTCGCTTCGATGCAAAGGCACGGCTACCTTTCAAAATGGCGCAGGGAACCGTGAAGGCGACTATTTGTAAGAGTGCTTAAAATTCGGAATTCAGTATAGCATAGCATAATGGTTTTTTTAAAAATGAAACCTTGTTCTCTGGGGAGCAATACGACATCTTGAATGCGAAACATTAAATTCATTACTGTCATTACTGTAGGCTTAATTTTCCAAGTGAAAACTATGTAAAGTTGTTTTGTTGCGCAAAGCAGATAATTTCCCTACTCTTAGCTTTGCAACCAAAATTTGATACGCGCAGAGAGGTAATAATAAGAGCGACATTTGAGCTGCAATTTGCAACGCAACGACGTTACGCGACAGGCTGCGCGATTTTGCTGCTCGTATTACCGCCCTTCAGGGTACTACAGTAATAAGAATATTTCTTTTTCTTGTATTTTGTTAGTTGCTCCGTGTTCTTTCTTTTTACACTACGCGAGGTAATAAGGATTAAATTGTTTGCAAATACTAACAGCATTTTTACAAATAACTTTACGAAAGCATTCCACAGAAAAAACTATGTTGCCATACCAAAACAGCTAGAAGACGCGTCAGCACCGGTTCCATAAGTAGACAGTCGTCCAGGACATGGAAGACATGTTGTTTGTCCAAGTTGATGTTGATATGTTCCTAAGGGACATGGGGTACAGGGCTCGACGCCGTTACTTGAAAACGTTCCTGGGGCACACTTCACTAAACATTGCAAAAACATGACGCATAAGTTGTTGTAGCAGTATACAATCACCAACGTATTGGCATTTACCATACGTTTAATCATAATTAATGGAGCGGAATTCCCGCTCATTTAACTATGGTTCGATTAAAGGGAGCTAGCGCATTGTTTTTTCAGTACAATACAGTAAATGCATGCGTTGATAAAAAATATTTCGGTCCTAGCTAAGAACAAAACACAAAAGAAAAATTGGAGGAAAAAATTCTAAAATTATCAAAAAATTCATGGGGCTAAAAGAAAGATATATTGTTAACCATGTTTTCAATTTTCAGTATTATACTAACACAAACCAATCTTGAGCTGCCTGTGAGTGAAGCAGTACGATGCCAAATAAAATCTTTGTATTCGCAATATACTTACTTCCACAGTCTTCAAGTCTTGTTGATGCAGCAGCCACTGAGGTGGTTCCCGCGGGACACACGGTGCAGTTCTTGTTTCTCCTTTCGCTCGAGTAGGTTCCTGCGGGACACTGGAAGCAAACAGCAATGCCGGAGTTTGAGAAGTAACCAGGTCCGCACTCRGCTGTAGAGAAATAATAAGAATTATTTCAATGTGAATCAACAATAATTAACTGTTGCAATATGATGTGTCTGCAACCCTTATTTCCTTTATCTACCCGTTTCCGCACTCACTTACTAGCTCACCCACTGATCCATCCATCCATCCAAACACACGCACAAACACACACACTCACATCATTTCAACGCTGTCCTAGAATAGATCAATAGACCTCTAAATAYAAGGCGTAATGTTTCTCCATTTCAGACCACGTGTCATTCCTTTAAGGATAAGATTCTTTGTTTGAGTGTATCCATCTTCATATTCTGCTTATATGCAGCCGTTAAACAAAGAAATGATACTCCAGAGAACTGACACGTGGTCTGAAATGGGAAAACGTTACCCCAACRTAAAGAGCTCTATCGTTTACCTTGGCATGAAGTAAAGTTCTCTTTTTTGTCCCCAAAGGTCCATGTTCCCAAGGGGCACTTTTTGCACTCAAGTGCTCCTTCATTYGGMGAAWATGATCCCTCGGGACATATGTYACAATCTTCCTTGTCACTGTTGTAATAKGTACCCACTGGACAACGGACTAGAAGCAAAATAAAATACCAAATATTACAAACAGAAATGATGCGTTTGRTGGGGAGTAATTTAAGGYATGARAACYGAGTTGTGGCTGGAAAAAAATCCTMAYTTTTTWRKWAMYTRKARSYTKKTT